GTAAACTAAATATTGTATAAGTTAATGAAATTGATAAGAGTTTGCCAAATAAAGAAGCATGAAATATGAGTATGAAAGAGTTTGGGTGCTGATAAGCAGATACTGTAGTATTTAAAAATTAAAGATTGTAAATTAGTGAAGATGTAAACAAACCAGTTTTTAGAAGTAGTTATAATTGCTAAGAAAATAGTAAGAATATTAGTTTTAAAGAAATATAGCCAAAATTTGACTTATGTCTGGAATGAGTGAATAGTTGCAGAATTATTAACTTGAACCCAACCTATACCCATAGAGCATTGAGAGGTACCAAGCTCAATAACAGAACCATCAGTGTAAAATAAAATAGTAGTTAGATTGTAGTTAGAATTAGCAATAGACTGTAAGTTATTAATAAGTTAGTTAGACTAAAAGATGCAAAGTAATTGTTGTAGATTGATTATTACTGAAAAAGAAAATAGAATATGTAAAGGATGTTGAATAACTACAGAATATGTAATATCAAGAAAGTTGGCATGTAGATTAAGAGTTTTGTCAGAATTAATATAACAAAATAGTTTTGTAATCAGGTTTGTAAGAATAAATATAGTACATTTGTTGGTGATTGTATTAGAATTAAGTTGATATCTAGAACATATTGTAATAATAAAAAGAAAAATAGAATATAAATTTGAAAACTGGAACTGGTATGAGTTGTGCTAGAGAGTAATAAAGGTAAGACCTATAAAAATATTATGTCTTTTGGTTTTATCAATAATTATTTGATCATTAAGAACAGTAAGTAGCCAGGATTTGGTATTAGAGATAAAGTAGACAATGGTATAAGAAAAATAATTTGTTAAAGATAAATTAAAGTGATCATATAAAGTATGATAATAGAAATGGCTTATAATAATGTACTCAAAAGTGGTAAACCATTAAAATATAATACCTTTAGAGAATTTATTTAGTCTAGAAGAAATATGATGTCAATGTAATAAGTATGAATTATTATATATTGTAAATTGATCAAAAAAGAATAGTTTGTGATATCTAAGTTATTTTTTGAAGATATGATATTTTTGATAAGATGAGAGAAGGAATTCAAGAAAGATAGCTTCATCATTAAGAGTATATAGGATATTATAAATTGGGTAGTGGAAAATGTCTAGTCAATATGTTTGATAAGCTGAATAATTTTAAAGTTTGTAGTTAGACAATTGGGATCATCAATGATTGGATTAGAATGTAAAAAGATATTAATAGAAGACCAAAGATTGTTTTGTAATTGTTGAATTTGGATATGAGTTGATATATCTAATAGATCAAGATTATTAAGTCATTTAAGAAAGTTAGAAATATAATATTATAGTTAAATGTCTCAAATGTATTTAATGTTGTAGATTTGGAAATATAAAAAAGTACTAGAAGGTATTGTATAATAAAATTTAGCTTTAAGTTTAAAAAGTCTAATATGCTAAATAAAGATTTTATTACAAATAGACTGGCTAATTATAATGTTTTGAAGATGATATTCAAGAATAGAAATAATAACTGTATTAATATTATAATGGCATGTGAGTTAGTAATATATTTGGTTTTAGTGATTTGAATAAGTTGAAAGAATTCAGCAATAAGCAGTTTTGTTTGTTTAGATTGCCTATTGTCCAAAATAAACCAGTAATCTAAAAATTTAAAAGGTTATTTAGGATGTAAAGTGAAAAAAGATAATTATTATAAAAAATAGGGGTGTAGCAAAGTGGAAGATTATTAGTAACCAAAATAGATTTTGAAGAGTTGACTTGAATGTTTGTTATAACATAAAATGATTTAGCTATAGATAGTATATTAGAAAGCTTATTTTGTAATGAAGCAATTCAAAGAGTATCATCTATATATGTCAAGACAGAATATTGTTTTTGTAATAAGTTAAATGTTTGAAGTTTAAGATTAATAGCCCAAGAGGATTGTAAGATATAACCAGATACTTGTACATGTAAATAAGTAAATTATAATATATGTGTTATAATAAAGGAGTAATAGTTTCATTTTGGTCAATGCTATTGTAAACTGAGTATAAAAGAATAAGACCAAGATTAGTAATAACTTAGTTGTAATAATCAGTTAAAAGATCAGAAAAAATATTGATAATAGATGAAGGAAGTGCTAGATGAGAAAATGAATGTTTAAAAAGAATAAAGTTAACAGAATCATATACTTTATTCATATTTTGTAAAAGTAATCAAATGTTCTTATGATTGCAAATAGCATCTTTAATAAGATTATTAAGAATGTAAATAGGAATTAAAGTGCTATTGTTGAAGAGTGCAATATAATTAAAAGATAAAAGAAAAGAATTAGAAGAAAATATAGTGCTTAGTCTGTTTATAAAAATTTTAGTATATAGTTTATAAATATACTCAACAAGACTAATGGATCAAGTGAGATTAAGATTATCATTAAAGAAATTATATTTGGAAATTGGATTGATTTTGCTATGTTTTTATTGCTTAGAAATTCTGTTTTCAAGAAGACAATAATTAAAAAGACTAATAATATCAGAAATGCATTCAGAGCTGATATGTTTGAGCATTTCATAACTAATGCCTATAGAACTACAGGCTTTGTTATTAGGAGACTAAAAAAGTGTTTAAGAAAGTTCTTTATTTGTAATAGAAAAGTTAAAAGATTAGTATCAGATTAGATTAATATGAAGCAATGAGAAATAGTATTGTTGTCAAAAGATATTAAAGAGAGTTTTATTAATAGGTTTAAATCAGTTCAGTTATGAAAATGTAATTGAATATACTATTTAATAAGTAGTAGATCAGTTATAAGCTCATTAGACAGTTTTATATTAAAGAAATAAACAGATTAATAGTAACAGTTAAGAATGTTATTAATAGCTTAAGTAGGATGTATTGTAAGAATAATATATTTTTTGTCAGTGACTTGTTAATTTGTTATTAAAGTAAAAGAGAGTTTTTAAGATAATGAATATAAAAAAAATTGTTTTCAGATAAAATAAACATGTTGAAGCCAAGGTTGAATATAAGATGAGTTGGTGGAATTAAGTAATTAAAAGTCACATTGTGACTATTTGTTAATTTGGGAGATATTTTGATTGATATTAGAAATGTTAGAGTGTTGACTAAGTTTTTTAACAAATTTAATAGTATGATCAAGTTTTTTAAATGATAGATGTAATAGAGTACTGTAAGATAAGTATTGATAGTTGTAGCTATATTTATAAGAAACTTTATTAGAGATAATATGACTAGCAGAATAAATAATAGAGCTTTGAATTTTATATCAAGTTGTTTCAATACTTTTATTAGTTTCATTATTAATAGATGTTTTATGTAGTAAGAGTTGTTGGAATAAGGTATTTGCAAAGGATTCCTAGTTCTCTATAGATATAGTCTTATAGTTGAAGATATGGTGACTAATACTAGTATGTTTATATAAGGGTTTGTTATAAGAATATGAGAATATCCATATAGAAGAAAAGATTAGATGATCACTAGAGATTGAGGTTTGGCTATTATAAAGACTATAAGTGAGAATAAATTGTATATTAAATTAGTTAATCCAAATGTAATCAATACAACTATTACTAGTATTATTAGACTAGATAGAGTATTTGTTGTTAAAATAAGTCCCAATATTATACATATTGGTGTTATTAAGAAAGTTGATAAGTTTGTATTTAAAAAAAGAACTGTAAGTATTATCTTATATATTAAAATTACGAAGAATAATAAGATAGATGTAAAGTTAAGAAACTTGTTGAATCTAGTTAATAACAGTGTTTTGGATTTGATTACAAGTAGAAATATCAGTTAATAACAGATATACTAAGATAATGTGAAGTTTGATATTATTTCGAAAGAAAATATCAAGTGTTATAGTACCTTCAAGATAGAAATAAATACTTTGAATATGAAGTTTAAGATGATTGTGAATTATAATAGCAGTGCCTTCAATAAAAGTAGGAGAGCTAGACTAATAGTAGATAAAGAAGTTATTATTACAAAAGAAGAGTTTAGTTTTGTTAGAGATTTTAGTTTCTGTAATGCTTATAATAGATATATTATAGTTAAAACAATAATCTTGTCAAGCTTCTCTTTTAGTAGGTTTATTGAAACCTCTAACATTATATATAATAATATTAAGATAAAAATGATATGAGGTTGAATTAGGTAAAAGTAAAGGAGAACTATAATTAGAAGAGGTTGAAGAATGATTGTCAAGAAATAGGTCAGGTATAATAAGGGTAGAATTAAAGAAATTAGATCTAAAAGGTAGGTTGTAAAATAAAAAAAAAAGATGTGAAATAATAGTAATATGATTTGGTAAAAGAGTGTCATTAGAAAGATATATGTAAGTTTTATTATAAGATAAATTAACAGAAAATGTAATTGAACAGTCTAGTTCTATTTAATTTAATTAGTCTAATCCAGTTTACTTTAGTTCAGTTATAGTCTAAAAATAAATTTATACAAATTGCTACTATAAAAATATACATTCTTGATCCAATAACAACTTTGGATTAAACTATTTCTATTTGTGTATATCTGTTTTTTTGAAAATTATTAATAATCAAAATATTTGAAAACAGATAATTTTATTTAATTTAAGCATTTATATATTAATAACTGATTATAATTCTAAGAAACAAGTCATTATGTAAAATAATAAAAACTTAATAAAGTGTTTAGATTATCAAAAAAATATAACAAATTATAAAATTATAAAGATCTTGCTTTGAGAAGAATAAATAAGAAAGAGAAATTTTGATTAAGAAAAAAGATAGTATGAATTATATAATGAATTTATAATTTGATCAATAAGTGCCATCATCAGCTGGCATAATGGTCATGCAAAAATTATGAAATCATTCTGTTACCTAAATTTGAATTCTCAAACATGATACTAAGAAACAAGGAAAGATTAAATCAAAGAATAATCATGCAATGCCAATGTAATTAAATTTTAGATTTAAAATATTTTGTAACATAAAGCAAGAGAATTCAGAGATTGCAAGATCATTGAATACACTGAAGAGTATACATCAAAGACATGTGAAAATTGTGAATTTATAAAAAGCAATCTTGATGAATCAAAGATGTTCAGAAGTGATTTATGTGATTTGGAAATAGACAGGGATGCGAATTGTGCTAGGAATAACTTACTCAAACATTTGACAAAGGGTCAGGTTCACGCCTGACATTGGGACTTGACCCTATATATGAATAGTAAAAACTAAAGTTATTTATTCTATTTTAAGAGTATTTGATAACGATAAATTTAGATATTCAGGTCGATGCAATGCATTAGTTGACCTCTAAAAATTCTAGCTTAAATGTACTGTACGTATAAACTAGCAAGTAACACTAAACCTGGATAAACAAAACCCTCAATAGACTTCTGAAAACTGAAATGAAAAGCTCATAACATTTGTAAATTTTATACATGGTGAAATCTGCTATGATCATCACATGCGGGAGAAATCCGCTTTTATATAATAAAAAACATAAGGATTTCACTATTTCGCAACTCAGGTTTCACCCTGTTCTAATTTTTTATTAAGTTCGGACTAGGATATAGTAACTCTTTGAAAACTGACTTTAAAAACTTTACATATAAATCCTATAAGAACATAATAAACAAATAAAGTATAACCGTAATAATTTTTTGAAATCGATAATTTAAGAAATATTCAATGTACTGTTTGATAAAGAAATTGTGTTCTTAGACTTCTCGCACTGTACTTAACCATCAATTAAATAAAATATCGTGATCTCTTCTAAAGATCAATTAAAAACTCAAATCATTCAATATAACGCGGATCTCCTATGGAAGACAAAGTTGTTGCTGTAAGACTTCTGCTTAATATGTGATGCGTTTGTAGTTTAAATGCGCTCACTTAAAAAATACTACTTAATTTTGGTTGTTGTCATTAAATTCTTTTTACAACGCAACTTCGATTATCTTAGCTTGTTATCGACAATGGTTCTAGTATGTGTAAAGCCGGTTTCGCTGGTTATGAAGCTCCACACGCTGTGAGTAGTTTATCGATTTCTTCAAAACCAAAATTGTGGTTATGTACTTATTAAGTTCATTTACGCGATAAAATTAATAAACTCTGATTTGATTATAATGTTTAGGTTTTCCCTTCTGTTGTAGGTCGCCTCCGCAATCATGGTGTAATGGTTGGTACGTGCCAGGAAGTTTCATATGTAGGAGATGAAGTTCAATCAAAACGTGGTTTTCTTACTCTTACATGTCCTATTGAGCGCGGTATTGTGAAGAATTGGGATGAAAAAATTTGGCATCATACATTTTACAACGAACTTCGTGTCGCTCCTGAGGAATATCCAGTGCTTTTGACTGAAGCACCTCCTGAAAATGAATCTAGTGGATTTGAACAAAAAAATTATAAATTTAACCGAGAAAAGATTGCTCAACTAATGTTCGAAAGTTTTAATGTGCCTGCTTTTATGTTGCAATTCAAGTAGACTATTATTACTATTCATTTTATACATATTTTGTGTTGATAGTCAAATTAAAATTTATTTCATGAATAGGCCGTTCTTTATTGTATACATCTGGTCGTACTACTGGTATTGTTCTTGACTCTGGTGATGATATCACTCATGTTGTGCCAATCTATGAAGGTTACGCACTCCCCCATGCTATTCTCCGTCTCAATTTTGCTGGTCGTAATTTGACTGAATACCTTAAAACGATTCTTATGGAACGTGGTTATTCATTCACGATCCTTTTCGAAGGTGGGATTGTTGACATTAAAGAGAAACTCTGTTATGTTGCTTGTGATTTTGAGCAAGAAATGCAAACTGCTGCTCATCCATCTACTTTGAAGTTATCTTATGAATTACCTGATGGTCAAGTTATTGTTACTGGTAATGGACGGTATGTTATTTAGTTACTGAATTATTTTTATCTTTATTTATTCCTTTGTATACTTATATGTAGATTTTTAACTTGTAGTTTCCGTGTTCCAGAAGCACATTTCAGCCTTCTTTCTTGGGTATTGAAGCTGCTGGCATTCATGAAACTATCTATAATTCCATTATGAAATGTGACGTTGATATTCATAAAGATCTTTATGGAAACATTGTTCTTTCTGGGTAAATTTATTTCAAGATTAGTTAAAAAGATTATTTTTTTTATCGAGTTAAACGTATTTAATTAAGGATCGATCTGTTTTTTACATATCACAGAGACAATACTATGTTTCCTGGATTTGCAAATAGATTGAAGAAAGAAATTACAGCATTGGCGCCTTCCAGTACCTCATTATACAGAATTATTTACTATCCGCTCTATTTTTAATTCGGTTCCTATATTAAAATGATTCTTTTCTTCCCGGTTTGAATTTATCATAAAATTAGGTATGAAAATCAAGGTAATTAATTCATAATCGTATCATATATGTGGATTTGGAATTTTTTAGGATTTTAGGGTTATTTAAAATAAATTCTCCTAAAATTATAAATTTATTAAGGAATTCCAAATCCACTTAAATCCGTTCCTACTTACAACAAATATTTGTTAATCTTGGCTTTTAACATTTCATGAATTCGTTCAGGTTATTGCCATTTCTGAACGCTAATACTCTGCCTGGATTGGTGGATCTATCTTGGCTTCTGTGCGTATATAACATATATCTTATTTTTATTCTTTTCGCATTAACATTCATGATATTCTTTTAGCTTTCAACTTCCCAACAAATGTGGATTACTAAACAAGAATACGAAGAATGTGGTCCTTTCATTGTTCATCGCAAATGTTTATAGATTAGAGACCGGATCTTTCATCGTTATTCAATAAATATTCACAGTTTTGATCTTCACGAATAGCATTGAACGAATATCCGGTTTTAAAGGATATATGTAAGAAAATTCTCGAATATTCATTAAATATAAATACCAAAACTTTTTTAAGCATAAAGATAACAGAGTTATTTAATCAATCCATTAGATAACGAATAGAAACTTGTTTCCCTAGTCTATTCAATAAAAATTTTACGACAGCCAATTCTGATATGTTAGATCACGTTAGGGTGAAATCGCGTTCAGCTATGTTTTTATTATCATGTGTATTATCATGTGATCTCAACAACTATTAAACCAAACTTGATAAAAAAAAATTTGGTTTAATGCGAAAATACCGTTCCTGATGGATCATCTGTAATCGATCTTGATGGAGTAAGTTTATCCTGATTAAGGATGGGTTCGATCACAAACGGTCACAATTATTCGTAGTCAATTTTCTAAATACTATGATTTTTTATTTTTGAGCTTTTAATTAAAGCTGTTCAGAATTAAATTCTGTTCATCCCATCTTATAAGTGGAAAGAACGATACCTTCTCTGGAAATCGGAATTTCAAAATTTGTCAACGTATAACTGGTCAATGACCGGTGGTCAATAACCGGTCATAACGTTAACAAAGTTCGAAATTAGGGTTCCAGAGAAGGTATCGTTCTCTTTCCACTTATAAGATGGGATGAACAGAATTTAATTCTGAACAACTTTAATTATAGGCTCAAAAATAAAAAATCATCACAGTATTTAGAAAATTGACTATGAATAATTGTGACCGTTTGTAACCGAACCCATCCCTATTCCTGATAGACGAACCCTAATCCTACCTTATTCATAATTTTCGTTATAATAGTATTATAGTATATTAGAGGCCTTTTTTTAGAGCCCTATCAGGAACGGTATTTTTGCTTGTTTAATAGTTGATGAGATATTTTAAAGTTTAAAAAAGTTTTACTAAAAACAATTTGCTTGGTTTCTACTGACACCCTATATGATCTCGGGCTATTACATATGGTGCAGGAAATCTATACTCAACGGTTACACGAAGTGTTTCAATTTTTTAAATAGTTATAACTTTTTATCTAAGAGGTTTTAAAAAAATCTGACCGGTAACATTATAGAGCTATATTAGCTCTACATATGTGCCAAATATCTTTTCAAAATCTCATCACTGTAAGGAGTTGATGCGTTTTGAAAATTGAAATTTTATATATAAATTTATAAATTTACATATAAAATTTCAATTTTTAAAACGCATCAACTCTTTACAGTGATGAGATTTTGAAAAGATATTTGGCATATATGTAGAGCTAATATAGCTCTATAAAGTTACCGGTCAGATTTTTTTAAAAACTCTTAGATAAAAAGTTATAACTATTTAAAAAATTGAAACACTTCGTGTAACCGTTGAGTATAGATTTCCCCAAAATTCCGGGTCGGAATACTTCGGATTTAGCCCGGCATTTAGTTAGCATTTAGTAATACAAATTAACCATTTCTGGGCCAAAATTATCAGCTGGGCAGCTTTACTTAATGAGTGAGCTATGGTTTCATTAGTAAAACTTTTAGTGATCTTGGGCAAATTAGTTAATTCCGGCCCTGCCGATCATGATTCCGAAGTATTCCGACCCGGAATTTTGGGGATCCCCCTGTATGAGTTCCCTGTATGAGTTGATTTCCTGCACCATATTTAAAACTCTGTGGCGGTACCACGAAAGTTAGCGTTAGTGATTTTCACTAATTTGATTTCGGAAATTATACAACCAGACCTAGTGATGTGCATTTATATGACACTCGAATTTTTTCGCGAACAGTACGTATAGTGCGTATAGTTGATTCTAGCGGTCTTATTGGTTGATAGAATTCATCTGAAGTCTAAGACTTTGGAAAGATTGAACCATGCTGGTAAATCAAAATATTTTGTGTGTGGTTACTAAGCACAGCATGTGAATGTACAAAAGCAATAAACAAAACGATAGCCTTTCGGTTGTATTTGAGTACTATTAAAAGAAAACTAAGCTTCAGGCTTTTGAACTTATAATAAATCAATTCAGCCTTGAAAATTCAAAGTCCAAAATCCTGTTTCATTTTAGTAGCGCTTATCTATGCATTAATACTGTATTAGTAATAATAATATCTTGGGTCGTTGGATATTAGTGGAGAGATCAATCCACTAATACCCAACGACTCAAGATATAATTATTACTAAAATAAACTTATCTAAATATTTAAATAAATTTATTGTTATATGGTTGAGATTTTTTCTCTTTAGCATTTTTATCATTATAACTTTAATTAAATACTATACATAAGTAGTTAGTTGACATTATTATTATAAGCAATTATTTCCATTTTATCTGGCCTAAATCTCAGGACTAATTTTAAGGAAATAATTGTTGTATTATAATAGATCAAATATAGTAAAATTTAGATCATATATGACACTATGATTATGCACGTATACTGTACGTATACGTATGATTATTTTCTATTCTTGCCTCTTACTAATTTTCTCATTCTTTACTAATTTAATTACCTTTTCTAGTTTCACCACCTTTTAGCAGTTTCGCCAGTTTTGTCATTTCGGCATTTTAATTTTTTTTTGCCGAAACCTCTAGGCCTGACCGTACAAGAAACTTAAAACCACAATCCGCCCTTTAAATGTACGCATGTATAAACAAGCAGCACATTGAAATTGAAATATTTCCTAAATACAGTGTAAGGGAAGTATCGTCCATCACCTAATGTACTGGAGTTCAAATAACAAAAATTACATAAAATTGATATATTAATACATAAGATTGATTTATTAAAAAGAGGTAATAGCCCCCTATGCTCCCTCTTGTGGTACGTACAATACATTCATCAATTTTACTAAACAATTTTTTAAAAAATCGGGTGATAAATGACACTTCCAATGTACTGCTTGATAAAGAAATTGTGGTTCTTACGTATGTGCGTAGGTGATTCGGTTAAACCTATATATCTATATCCGGATATAACGATAAACATGGATAAGTGAAACTCTTTGTATTACAGAGCAAAATATATTTCGTTTCTATAAAGAGCTAATATGAATTTAGATTTCTTGCACGTACCTCACTTAACATTGAATCATCAATTAAATAAAAATTACAAATTTTTTTTTAAAATAAACTAAAAATTCAAATCATTCAACGAAAAGTTGATCTCCTATGGAAGACGAAGTTTCTGCTGCTGTAAGACTTTTTCTTAATATATGATGCGTTTGTAGCTTGAATGAACTTTCACTTAAAAAAAAATCTTACCTTTGATTATTGTCATTAAAATTCTTTTTTTACAATGCTACTTTGCATTACCTTAGCTTGTTATTGACAATGGTTCTGGTTCATGCAAAGCCGGTTTCGCTGGTGATGATTCACCACGTGCTGTGAGTAACTTGTCCTATTTTATACAATTGATAACTGATTTCTTCAAAACTAAATACAGTTGAACCTCCCAAAACCGATCCTGTCAAAACCGATAACTTGTTAAATCTGATAAAAAATCCGATAAAAAATTAATCCACCAGGTCCGTTTTTGTTAAATAAATCTAATAATTTATTAGGTTTTCAAATATGATACCTTTTCAATACTGATATAATACCTGGGAGGTTCAACTGTATGTGGTTTATGTACTTATAAGTTTACTTACGCGATAAAATTAATCTACTTTGGTCTAATGTTTAGGTTTTCCCTTCTATTGTAGGCCGCTCCCCTGCAATGGTCTGCATGGGCCAAAAAAATTCATATGTAGGGGATGAAGTTCAATCAAAACGTGGTCTTCTTACTCTTACATATCCTATTGAGCGTGGTATTGTAACAAATTGGGATGACATGGAAACAATTTGGCATCATACATTTTACGAACTTCGTGTTGCTCCAGAGGAACACCCTGTGCTCTTGACTGAAGCGCCACTCGATCATGAGTCTAGTGAACATAACAAAAAGAATCATAAAATTAACCGAGAGAAGATGACTCAAATAATATTTGAAACTTTCAACGTGCCTGCTTTTTATGTTGCAATTCAAGTAGATTATTATCATAATAACTCTATTCTTTATACATATATATTTTGTTGATTAGTTAAATTAATATTTATTTTATGAATAGGCCGTTCTTTCATCATATTCATCTGGTCATACTAATGGTATTGTTCTTGAATCTGGTGATGGTGTCACTCATGCTGTACCTATCTATGAAGGTTACGCTCTTCCTCATGCTATTCTTCGTCTCAATTTGGCCGGTCATGATTTGACTGGATATCTTAGGACACTTCTCAGTTATTCAGTCACGAACTCTTCCGAACGTGTGATTGTTGACATTAAAGAGAAACTCTGTTATGTTGCTTTGGATTTTGAGCAAGAAATGAAAACTGCTGCTCAATCATCTACTTTGGAGAAATCTTATGAATTGCCTGATGGTCAAGCTATTACTATTGGCAATGAACGGTATGTTATTTTAATTACTGGGTTTTCATTTATTCATTTGTGTATTTACATGTAAATTTTTAACCTGTAGTTTCCGTGCTCCAGAAGCACTTTTCCAGCCTTCTTTTTTGAGTATGGAAGCTGTTGGTATTCATGAAACCATCTATAATTCCATTATGAAATGTGACGTTAATTTTCATAATGACCTTTATAAAACTATTGTCCTTTCTGGGTAAATTTATTTCAAGCTAATTACAAAATAATTAGTTAAACATATCTGATTAATGATTTTACATATCACAGAGGCAATACTATGTTTTCTGGAATTGCAGATAGATTGAAGAAGGAAATTACAGCATTAGCACCTTCTAGTACGTCATGGTATAGAATTATTTACTATCCGCTATTTTAATTCGTTCTCTATATTAAATTTTCTGGTTTGAATTTATCATAAAATTAGACATGAACGTCAGGGTAATTAATTCATAATCGTATTATATAATTATATATATATATTTATTTAACATTTTATGAATTCGTTCAGATTATCATCCCTCCAGAACGTAAATATTCTGCCTGGATTGGTGGATCAATCTTGGCTTCTGTGCGTATATAACATATATCTTATATTTTTTGCTATCTTTTCACACTAACATTCATGATATATTTAGCTCTCAACTTTCGAAAAAATGTGGATTAGTAAACAAGAATACGACGAATCTGGTCCTTCTATTGTTCATCGCAAATCCAATGGATATTCACAGGCATTTTCGTCCACAAATCACATTTAATGAATATCTGGAGTTTAAACGGACAGTTGTGAGGAAATTCCCGACTATTTTGTGAATATAAATCCTGTATTATGTGATAAACAGGTAAAAAAATTTTTTTAACCATATAATTAGAAATTATTTATTAATTCATTAAGATAACTAACGGGAATTTTACCATCTCTAGTCTATTGCTTCAATAGAAATTTTACTACATAATTTACATTTAATGTTAAACATTAAAATTATTTAGAACAAAAATATTTTTATACATAAATAAAAATTCATTATTACTCCATTTTTGTTCCATTCGCCAACACTAATAATACGTGCTAGCATGAAACGTTTAAATCAATGTTTAGAATCGATTCTAGATGAAAGTCAGGTCTTTGACTGAGAATCACTAGACATTTCTATTGTTTGTAAAAAAGAATTGACCTACTGCAAATTTTAATATCATAGGAAAAAAGGTCAAGAGATCAATAAAAAATACTATAAGCTTTGGCATATCTTATTTTGAAGAATTGAATCTTTCTACTTTGAAACTTTTTCTTATCGGTATATATTAATTAAAAAATATAAACACAACTATAATAACATTTTTATTATATAGATCCAAATCTAAATGAATGGGGTAAATGGTTATATCATTTTGAATGGGATGAATTTCAAAATCATGGCAGTATATATGCTCATGGTATAGCTTTTTCGATATATCGATTCCAAATCTAATAAATCGTAATGTTATTCATGCAGACCTGCCTGATTCCATATCGAACCAGTTCTTTATGAACTGGTTCGTAATCATAAAATCCATCATTGTTTCCTAATAAGTGTAATGGTTCATCTCTTCCTGGGAAATAATGCAAAAAAAAGTTTCTGGCATCATTGTCTGATAATACTTATTTTAATTTGTCTTCTTATGCCATATTTATCATTGAACTAAGGAAGCAGACCAATGGGTCGTTCCTTATTATGTATTTACTTTATTGTTGTGACAAGGTTATTATACTTTTTAATATATCATCTCTGAATCTTTTGTTAAATATATGATTAAATATATTACCAAACTAGAAAGTTCAGATCTGTTTAAATTAACTGAACATGATATGTATTACTTTCATATCTTAGTCTGACATCTTGGTATAATGGAATTGATAATACACTTAGTTGGATATTTGTTTTGTTATTCTACCATTACTACTGAATATTTATCAATTACACCATCTAATATATAATTAAAATACATATATAAAATCAATTTATTTACTAAATGATAAATTTTTTTAAAAAAATATTAATAATAAGATCATGTCTTTAACTTTATTGAAATTCGATTGAAGTTTTTATAAAGAAAAGTTTGCTTTTAAATTACATATGAAGAATAAAGATTCAGACATATAATCTGTAACCTAAACCTACAAGAATGCCTAAGGTTCATCTAGATTTAGGTGTTAGTAATAATATAAAAGAGAGAAATATGATATTTAATCCATTAAATAGTCTAAAGATCAATATTAGTAAGAATTTATAGTATTAAAATAAAAGATAAGGGTAAACTAGAAGAAGAACCGTAAGTTAAGTTAGTAAAAGATATAATTTGAAACTATGCAAAATGTAAAGTACAGTATGAGATTCATATTTATTTGTATATTTGTTGGTTTAAATAAAAAAGAAATTCATATGTAAAGGTCAAGATTATGATGATCAAACCCAATATACAAGGCAGACTATGGTATCTTGCACAGCTGTAAGAACTGGGCATATGGTAATCAACCCTGTAAAAGACAACTTTAGAAGATCATTCTCAACATTTTCAAGCTTATATGATCTTTATATATGTTTTAATAAATTTCTTTTTTATTACAATTTATCATTTCTTTCTTATAGTAAATTATTCAATCTTTTATATAACACATTAACAAATAAAATCACAATAATATCTATCATGAAACTCATATTCCTTAAATTGTAATATAAGCAAATTTGTTTATATTAATTTTTTTAAAATTAATTTTTATAATAAAATTTTAACAATTAATTTTAGCAATATATTTTCTAAACAAAAAATATTTTTAAAAACCTATTTTATAAACTTTGTTAAGAAACTTTTTTAATTTTATTAAATAACTATTAAAATTTAAAAGTTGTATAACATTAGGGTTTACTATTAAAATATTTTTCAAGTTTTCTAAAATTTTATATGTTTCTAAAGTTAAAAAAAATTTTTACTCTTAAGACAAATATTAATTTTTATATATAAATTACTAACTTGTAATAATTAAAATTGTAATCTTTTATATAAACTAAAAAGTTATATTAAAAATTATTGATTTAAAATTAATATTTAAAAAGATTATCATATATAAACTAAAAAATTTTTTTTAAAAAAATTTTTTTTGAAATTGTATATTTTTAACCTATAAGTAATCTAATTTTTTTTTCTTATTGTTAAAAGGATTTTGGGTTCACTGAATACAGAGTTAAGGAAAATGTAACAGATTGTTGCTTAAAAATATCAAACATCATGAAACATTGTATCATAAAAGAGACAAAATGATTTGATAAAGCTAAGGTATAAGTGCAAGGTCTTGGTTTATTACTAAGATAGTTTTTATTACTAATATGGCTATTACTAATAATGATTATTCTATTTGCTTCCTTTTCTTTAACTCTAAAAAAAAGATGTACTTATATACAAGAATAGTGTTTCATAAAAAAAGACAGTACAGAGGACCAAGATCAAATATTTTCCTACTGAATTCAACAGTATCAGATCCATTATTATAATTAGAACCTTAAATGACCTTATATAGTACAAACAACTAGTTTAATCTGATAGATCTACCTCAACAAATAGCTATAGTACCAGATTTTGCATCATTATAGTATTGTTTCAGTTAGGCAGCTTGGCTTTCAAGTTTCTTAAGATACAATTGATGCACAAAAGTTGGCTTGTTTTAGAAGCATTCTTGCTATAAAAGAGTATAGGTTAGAGTGGCACTAGGTTAGAGTGGCACTAGGTTAGAGTGGCACTAGGTTAGAGCAATTTTGGTATCCATTTTGCCCTTAATATTATAATTTAAAAATAAATACTACAAAAAAGTAATTCTTATTTTCAAATATTATTATACCAAATTTTATTAAAATATTTTATTATTTCAAAAAAGTAAATCAAAGCCAAAAAAATATAAAAATCCAGCTAAATTTGTCTGTTTTAGCTTATGATCTAAGGGATATATCTTTTAACTAACTTTTTCTTACCCAATCATATTGTTATTTATTTTTATTTTTTTCATATCTTTTATAACCTTTCTCTTAAATCAAATTTCTCTAATCCTAATTCTATTTTATCTAACTTATTTCTTAACAGTCATACTATATCACAAGTATCTATATTTATACAACCTCTATGTAACCTTCATTTAAACATCTGTATATATAATATTAGAGGTTATAACATAATAACTAAAAGAGAATTTTGATAAAATTATTGTCTTCACAATAATATCTATGTTTCTTGCATTATTAAAACTAAAATCACTAACAGTACTAATTTTCAATTTTGCAATAACAATCTATTCACTTACTTCTGAGTCAACTCAAAAAGCTTAGTAGAAGATGCTATTATTATAATTCAAAAGTACTTACAACTACATATACACAACTATCAAACACATCATAGTTGAGCAATTGCTTTAGATTTCTTTTTTAAAAGTGAAATTAAACTTCAAATTATAACTGTCTATCTCTTTTCTATTGATATGCAAAAACATAACAATATACAAAATATTATTATTATATAGATCCAACAAACTTTTAAATACAATCTTTATCTAATAATACTTGAAGACTTTAATATACATGATGATGTTTGTAACTCATCATCTAAATTCAAACTTATGAATTATTTACATTATTCTAATATATTTGATCTTAATGTATATGTTTTTTTTTTTTTTTTTTTTTTTTTCTTTTTTTATCAACCAATACATATGCTAAAAATAATAATAGAATAAGTA